CTCGCTCAGCCAGTGAGCGGCCGGTCTGTATGTGGGATCCGAACCCTCGGCGGGAGCGCCTGCCACACTTCTCAAGCGGCGCACTGTAGCAGTGCGCCACCGGGCCGGCCCAGCCAGCTGTACTTTTAAACTGAGCATAGTACCATGAAAAGGGAACATGTGAGACCATATAACTTATCCATTTATTGTTAAGGTAGTTAGTGTTTCCTGTAGAGATCTGATTAATGAGAAATGGCAGATTGTTGGAGACCAGTATGAAGGCTAGGATTTTAGTGCTATACTAGTTAATGTGGTTCTGAAAGTGGACCTCACTGCCCCATAGCTCCTGTCCTTCCTATGGGAAGTATTTGAATGCATGAAGATATGATGAGGTTGCATACTCAGGAAGGTGCAAGGTTGTATTTGAGTGGGCAAGACTCTCTGACTGTCATTTAGAACTTTCGTCTTTTCTATTTCATATGAATGTGTGAGCCCATAAAATGTGATGCCCACATTTTATACAAGTGGGCATCATTGTCTTTTTATAAAGTTGCTTTTTGACTCTAAGTCAGAATTAGGTGTTTCTAGCTATTTAGGAAATTGATGACTTCTGTTTTTCATGCAACAACTATTGAGACACCTAAATAAATCAAATTTTTCTACAGAGGTAAACAGATTGGTATTTTTCTGATAAGGAGAGACAGTGCAGTAATAGCTGTCTTCCAAGTTATCAATTAAAATTTTAATAGTCTTGCTATACATCACCTTACTAAGCAGAGGTAGAAAAGGGGGAAATTTGATTGGGAGTTGGAGGGATCTTACTACAGGAATCCTTACCCAGGGAGCATTGTGTGTATATTGTTTTTTTTTTTTTTCTTCCTGCCATCTCTACAGTTCCCTATTTGGACAAATTTGTAACTGTTAGCCATTATTCAAGCATCTTTTTTGGGGGGGCAGCTGTCCAGTATGGGGGATCTGCACCCTTGACCTTGGTGCAAGCGTCTTTCTTATGCATTCTACAATTATTCTTAGGTTGAGGGCCCTCTCCTATCTCCTTCCTTATGCTTAGATGAGCCTGTGCCCCCTGCTCAGTTTGGCCTTGTTGTTCATATTCCTTCTCTTGATTTAACTTGTAGGGCCCTAGCAGTCAGCACCACAGACTTTTTATGCTTATCTTGTTCAGCATCTTGGCAAGAAAGGTGTTTATCCCACAGGACTCTAGAACTTGCACATTATTAACAAGTCAGAGAGTTCAGGTGTGACCTAAGACTAGATTCCTATTTTGATTAGACACTCCCAAAAGGAGACCACTATTATAGTTTATTTGACTTCAGGAACTTATTGAATGCCACTGTTAAGCATTTTTGTTTCTCTGATGATCAGTGAGCTGTTTGAGGTCCAAGACTGTGGGTCTCTCATTGCTGTATTCTCAAAGACTGAGACATAATAGGAGTTCAGAAAAACCTCCCAAGAATCTGAACAGACCTGTGTGTTTCCTTAGAACCATATTGGTAATATGGGATTTATCATTTTTGTTAGAATTATTTGTTTGTCTTTTGTCTGCTGGACTTTAAATTTCATGAGAACAGTAGTGAGCACAGTATCTAGCAAAAAAGTTTGTACTGAAAATATAAAGCTGGCTTCAAAGAAGTTTGGGCCCATTGTCTCCAATGTGTTTCGTGGCCACATACGGCACTCCCTCTCTTAAAGACAAAAGGAATTGGATTAGCTTTGAAGGCAATCAGTGGGTATTTATTGCCAGTGATCAGTGCACATCTGAGATAACTCTTGGAAGAATAACACACACACACACACACACACACAAACACACAAGGATACTTGGAAGAATAACACACACACACACACACACACATACGAGGATACTTCAGAAAGTTCATGGAAGCATAGAATTAAAAGGTACTATGGGGCTGGCCAGTTAGCTCAGTTGATGAGAGCACAGTGTTATAACACCAAGGTGAAGGGTTTTGATTCCCATACCGGCCAGCTGACAAAAAAAAAGGTAATACAAATCTTTCCACAAACTTTTTGAAGTACCCTCTTCCATTTTGCCAAATCATGTGGAAGTAAGCTGCAGACATCATGATGCTTCATGAATACTTCAGCATGTATCTCTTCAAAACAAGAACACTCTTCCACGTAATGACAGCACCATTGTTGCATAGGAGAAACAACATTAATTAAATAACATCATCTAGCATACAGTCCACACTCAAAAGGCCTCAATTGTCCCCATTATCTCTTTTATAGATATTTTATTTTTTTAAACTCAAGGGCCACTATAGGAACCATTTTATTATTTATATATATCCTATAACATCGTATAGTGTATTAGTCCATTTCTGTTGCTTATAACATGCATACCTGAAACTGGGTGATTTATAAAGAAAAGGGAATTTATTGCTTACAGTTTCAGTGGCTGGGAAATCCAAAATCCAGGGAACATATCTGGTGAAGGCCTTGGTGGTGACGACAGTGACCCAGGGGTCTCACATGGCAAAAAATGGCAGAGCAGAGAGAGAGCTCCTCATGCGCCTTTCCTTTTAAGTGCTCAGAACCATGCCCTCGACTGCCATTACACCATCAAATGGATTACTCTGTTCACTATGGCATGGTCCTTACAATCTAACCACCTCTTCAGGGCCTTACTTTTCAATTACCCATAATAGGATTTCCCACTCTCAGCAGTTACAATGGGGATTAAGCTTTAATGAGTTTGGAGGGGCATACAATCTACAGCATGTTGTAAACCTCAAATATACATAATTAAATTTATTTTAAACAAAAGGAACCAATTAAGGTTTATGAATTACGTTTGGTATGATTAGTTATAAGCTGTAACTTTTTCGAGGCTTTTTTTGAGGGTGGGAGGATTTCCATATTCTCTCATTTATTTTGGACATCTTCTGGGTTTTGTTGGACTTTGGTTTGCCTCAGTCGATTCCTTTTCCCCAGAACCAATGTTCTTTGAATATTTTTGTATGTACAGTTCTTTCTGCTCTTCTGTAAATCTTATATGGCTTCCTTCTTTCTGTTGACTCTTTCCCAATTTCTTTTTCCCTTGGGAAGGTATGATGGGGCACAATGACCTGTAAACATTTTTGTTTTAAAGTGGTTGTTCTTCCTTCTCTCTCACCCCTAATTCTATGCCTAGTATGGGGGTACTTCAAAAACTCTGTGGAAAAATAGAATTAAAAGATAATACAAATCTTTCTGTGAACTTTTTTGAAGTATCCTCATATTTGAGAATGGGTATGTGCCTGTTATTGAATGCAGCAGTTATTCTGCTTCATTGCCTGCCTGCTATAGGTTAGGCTGTTTGAATGTTTTGAAAAGTTGCTATAAATCTTGCTATTACTTGTTGTTAGGTTTTTCTAAGGCCCTATAAGCATCTGACTAAACTTGGCAGTTTGTTTTTCAGTTTATATTTCTCTGGTATGTATTTTTCATTTCATTTTTTCTCTTTGTGCTCCTTAATAACCAGTTCCCAGTTCTACTAATGTTGGGATGCACTTATTTCTAAGTTGATTCTGGTTCAGTCAGAGTGAAATGGGGCCTGTTTTCTGTATTTCTAACAAATCCTTCTCTCCTGCTCTTTCAGCAACTTCCTCAGGCCTTGAGTACCAAATAAACAACTGGTGCTGCATTGAATCCATTGACTACACTATGAAATTGTGTATTTCATATACAATATATCTGCTTAATTGTATATCTTATACCATTCCCTGTTTTAAAAAAGCGCTTATGTACTAATTTTATTTTATTTTTATTTTTATTTATTTTTTAAAAAGATGACCGGTAAGGGGATCTTAACCCTTGACTAGGTGTTGTCAGCACCATGCTCTCCGAAGTGAGCTAACTGGCCATCCCTATATAGGGATCTGAACCCGTGGCCTTGGTGTCATCAGCACCACACTCTCCCAAGTGAGCCATGGGCCAACCCTTATATATGGTAATGTTAAAAAATAAGTTTCCCCTACTTATTTATCTTTGCATTTCTGGTACATGACATTGTGTTCAGCATGTAGTAGTTACTATATAAGAAAGTTCATGGAAAGATTCATGCTGTCTTAATTCTATTTTTCCAAGAACTTTTGAAGTACCCTTGTATAAATGTTTAAATGAATGAATGTATTTGAGGTGATGGAGTCAGAATCCTTGGTGAGGAATGTCAATACCAAGATATCCAAGGTTAGAGAAAAATGATTAAATTTATTTGTTTAGGTCTGGCCAGTTAGTTCAGTTGGTTAGAGTGTAGCCCATGACCCGGGGTCACAGGTTCAGATCCCCATACTGGCCAGCTGCAAAAAAAAAGAAAAACAAAATTAAATTTATTGGTTTAAAGTAGTGTTGCTCAAAATATACAGATGTTCCCTCCATTTGGCCCTACCCCAGTTCTCCTGAATTGGAATCAGACTTTTCTAGAGTGGGTCCCAGGCATTGCTCTCAAGTTTCCACAGATGATTCTTAAGTTCATTCTGGGTTGAAAAATCACTAGGCCATGTAAATTATAAAGTGGCTATTTCTGGATTGAGATGAAAATCAGAAGCTGGACTAATTTTTTCACTGTTGAGTTGCTGTGCTTTCCCCACATTTGCAAAGGCAAAGGGGGGTTCCTTTTTCTTAATGAAGGAAGGAGAAATACAACATTTTCTTGTGGTGTAAAAACATCTCTGGGTGTAAGGTAAATTATTATTTTTCTGATGGAGAGAAAGCAAACATTTTCTTAGTTGAGAGCCCTAAAACAATATGGCTGTTATTCTGTTACTGATTTGATCATTCATATTTCTTTCTTTTTTTGGCCAGTATGGGGATCCGAACCTTTGACCTTGGTTGATATGTCATGTTTCTTGAGCAGTTTTTAGAACTGTGTGCCAGCCAGTGTTCTAGAACACAGGGTTATTCTAGATGCCGATTATAATATATATAATTATTAGGTACCTTTTAAATAGAAACATAAATTCTTTCAATTTCTTTTAAAGTTTTGATTTTGATTCTTCTAGGTTCTTCAGATAGATCCTGAAGTGACAGATGAAGAAATAAAAAAGAGATTTCGTCAGGTACAGTACTATTTCCCAGTAATAGATGGAGTTTGAACCTTTTGAAAACATATGAAGCACATAATTCTATCAGGATTCGCTATTATGACTTGATATTTTGGGACCAAATTTAACCTTATTATTATTTTTTAACTTAAGGCTGTGTAACTGTTTTTTTAAAAAACACTCATAGTGGGCCGGCCCGTGGCTCACTCGGGAGAGTGCGGTGCTGATAACACCAAGGCCCCGGGTTCGGATCCCGTATAGGGATGGCCGGTTCGCTCACTGGCTAAGCGTGGGGCTGACAACACCAAGTCAAGGGTTAAGATCCCCTTACCGGTCATCTTTAAAAAAAAAAAAAAAAAACCTCATAGTGACATAAAATCTTAAATAATTTAATTACCATTGCTTACCTTTGAATAGAATGAATTTTATATCCAAATAGATTTTCTCCAGACCTTTACTTAAGAGGGATAAGTAAAAGGTAGAATAATAGAGCTTGCATGGAGTCATACTTAACAGATCCTCTGGCTTCTAGGAGAGAACATGTCAGATAATTCATAACACTCTTTTAAGACCCCATTTCTTGTTTTTTTTTTTTTTTTTTTTTTTTTTTTTTTTTTTTTTTTTTTTTTTTTTTTTTTTTTTTTTTTTTTTTTT